CCAGATTACTGGTACGTGTGTTTTCAACATAAGCTACAGTCTGTTTAGCTGAACATTTCTCATCATAAGAAGCAGGGGCACCATCCTGAGCATAAGCACCAACTGATATAGCATATATACTCTGGGAATAACCATCAGCTGCACAAGTGTCAAGCTCAAATCCTCCTCCATTTCCAGCAGCAAATGTAACAATGTTCCCCCTACCATTTCTCCCCTTTTGTTAATTATAATTAATGTACAATTAATGCATTGTTTGTTGCAATATTCTTTCCTACCATTTCAGCTCCTTCTTTCAATGCTAATGATGACAGGTATCCTGGCCCACCAATAGTGAAACCTGAATCAGGTGGTCCCCAACTGTTACTGTAAATATCAATATTGTCACGAGAATAACTGAGAGCAGATGAAACAGTTATATCTGTGATATCTCCTCCCAATAAACGAAGACCTGTTATAATTAGATAGGTAATGAATGGATAAAGTATATGAATTCAATCCCCTTACCTGCCACAGAGGCATCATAAGCTACACCTACTCCACAAACATTATTATCACGGGCCATGACAATTTCACCAGCACAAGCAGTTCCATGAGATGATCCACTTGGAGGAGAAGGATCACTAATATTTTCATTAAAATTATAACTGGAAGCTGACACCTACAATTATATCAAAATAAAAAGAGGGAGAGATGAAAATTAAAATATATAAACTAAACAAAATGTACTTTATTGGTAACTAACAGAATAATATTTATGATAATATATTTATAATAATAATAAATAATATTTAGTACTAATTAAATTAATTTATAACTACCGTATAGCTGGAAAAGTTTGAGGGAATTATATTTTGCAATTTTTTTACCAATATAGCAAATTTTGATGTTTGTGGAATTTAATTTTGCTGGTGTAGGAGTAAACTGTTGATACATCCATTACCTATAATGCTTTGTGGAATTAAATTATGTGCTTTTATGATGAACGGCAAACAGCAAAATTGAATTTCAGCAAATATTTCCAGCTGTACGGTAATCAAAATATTTAGCATAACTTGGCAAGCTTGTAAGTCCATTCATAAAATTGATTATCTCAATGCTCACTTACATAGTTATTCCTTAGGTCGGTATGATTATGTTGCACTCCTACACAAAAATGACTAATGCCAACTCTAGAATGTATCATCTTACCATCATCCACGACACCAACTAATATTCCATTTCCAGTATATCCTTGTATCCATGCTGGTTCTGCATTCAGATCAAGGTAAAGGTTTGTCTCATTCGTCTGACCAGTATTGTTCTACAATAAAAATCCAGCTCTGAATAATCTTAGTGAACTTTACTCAAATTGATAATATACTATTATTTACAGTATATCTAAATATGGTATTATCAAGAGTAAATAATACTTAAATAATGCTATTATTGATAGTATATTGATAATACACTATACTCTGACTAATACTATCTATTATACTATTTACGATGTTACTTACAACTGTCCACTGACTGCACCACAGTGGATCTGTCTGACATGTTGGTTGAATATACTTCTTTTCCCAATTATGCAAACTCTGCTGCTGTACATACCCTACCTGCATGAAGATGTAGTTATACTCTGATACAGTATGTACATGTACTCAAGTATAAAAAAGAATATTAATTATTAATAACAATAATTACAAGCATGATATGAGACCATTGTAATGTATGTAGTAATGAAAACACATTCCTGTAAAAAGGGTACATAAAAACATCCACTTTCTACGAAATGAGAGTAACAAGGAAAAGAAAGAGGAAATGAAAGAGAGGAAATAAATGAAATAATGAGTACAAAAAATGAATAATATTATAATAAGATAAACAAATAAGATAATAAGTACTCATGAGATCTAATGCAAACAGTAGGTACATCACAGTTGCAGATATCACATAGTCCAGTAATAATAAAATGCCACATGATAGCTTTGCCATTACAAGTAAGGAAAGAAGGAGTGTCAAATTACTTTATACCACACAAATAATCAAACAAAATTACTTTTTTTGCGCTAAACCAAAATGTATTGGTACATGAGCAGAGCTGTAAAATCTGCCGACTAATTTCTATATATATCCATTGTAAATGCAGTTGGAGCAGGAAGAACAAATAAACATTTGTAAAGACCTGTGCAAAAATATTTGTTGCCAACAAAACAGCAACATGTTGCCAAGGCTTTTTATTCTTGAGAACATTTTGCGACAGTAGCCGCAAAATTTTTTAGCAAAATGTTGTCTAGTGTATGCTTGGCTTCACCTTTATCTCTGACTTGAGGGCACTTGTCATGTATTGCACTTCAGTACCAGATTTAATGTTTTCATTAACGCTGTGAATAGAGGAGCTCATTTTAAAATGATAAATATTAGCAAAGGCACCAACCTGGCAATGATAACAATTATAATATTTCATTAAGTGATATTTATCTCTTACTCTTCCCATGTTAGTGAAGCCATGTCTCTCTGCAATCTCATTAGCAGCTTCAATTCCACCATGAACCTCAACAGCCCAGCTATCAGTAAAGACTGCTACTGGCAGTTGGGCCTGGCCTTCAATGTATGCACCAACATCAGCAGCAACAATACTGAGAGTAAGAGTTAGAGCTAACAAAAACAATGAGGGGGTCATCTTCTCCGACAATACCTGCACTCTGCAGAATTATGTTGTTTTATATACAACCACATTGATCTAGTTCATTGTCACACCCACTTACTTGATTAAACATACAAAATTACTGGAATGGATTATTATGTTGATTTACTGCTTATAATAACAAGTCAGTGTTTGCTATAAGGACTGTATGACTTAGTATAAGAATGTTCTGTCACCACAAATTCTACATATTACTGATGATATCATTTATACAAAGGAGAACATAACCAATAGAAGCTACAACTTCTAACACAAATTTAAAGGTGAATTATAGCTATTAGTTCCTTTTTCCACGAGGTTTTCTACCACGCCCACCCATTGTTCTCTTTCCACGTCCACCAGTTGTTGTTGCCCCTCCCCTCACACTTTTCCTTGCACCCTTGCGTTTATTTATCTGTCGCCTTTCCTTCATAAAATTAATTTTTTGTCTCTTGCGAAGGATCTCGTTCACGCTTTTAATCTCGCTCTTTACTCTCCTCCCTGTTCCTCCTGCCCCTCCGGTTGACTGACGAGGATTAAAACGTCCTTTTCTTCTCGCAAATCCTTTTAATAAGTGACACATTAATTACAATAACTTATAATCTTACTAGCAGGTGGAGTTTCGCTATCCATGGAATTACCTTCAACTTTGTTCTTTGTCTTCCAAGTTTGATATCTAAAGAGAAAAATATATTCACCTTCTTTAATTCACTCTCTCTCTCTCTCTCTTGTTCTTCTTACAATCCTGTTTTATATGTTGAGGATATCCACCTTCCACTTTCTGTCTTTATCTTTTTGGTGCTGCTCTCTTTTCCAGACTCTGTCACAAACCTCTTTCTCTTTCTATCCCTAAAACAATCAAACAATCAAATCTTCAATTACTCTTAATCCTTCTCTTTTCTTCCTTAATTGATATTCTCTCCCTCCCTCCCTCCCTCCCTCTCTATATATATATATATTTACCATTTTCTTATTCTTTTTGCTTTTTGCATGTCATTATTTTCATCTCCTGTCAAATCGAGTACAGCACTTGAAGCTGCTTCTTCAAAATGATCAATTGATAGACTGAAATAGAAAGAATTATTAATACACTTGTCAGTGAAACAGTAAAATAATAATAATAATAGTAGTATGGTATCAATATTATATTTAATCATAACAATACTTGTCCCCTCTCTTTCAATGATAATTGTCATACCCTTTCTCTGTGTGATGATCTGATGGTTTATAATTAATGTAAGGCTGTGGAGCTGTCACTGATTCTGTAAGAAATTTAAAAAATACATGCAAATTATCACAATTATAACAATAAATGGAAAAACTTTCTTACATGTATATGGGTTTAAAATTTAGTGGCTAGGTTACTGCGAAAAAAGTTGCAGAAAGTGCCAGAAACATGTTTATGCATCAAAGAACCATTTTGAAGCAACTTTAAAAATTTGTAAAAAATCTAATTTTGACTCAAAATCTGCTCAAACTTAAAACAAGGCATTTTGAAATGATAAATATTAACAAAAGCACCAACCTGGCAATATCATGATATTTTATTAAGTATTATTTATTCTTACTCTTCCCATGTTAGTGAAGCCATGTCTCTCTGCAATCTCATTAGCAGCTTCAATTCCACCATGAACCTCAACAGCCCAGCTATCAGTAAAGACTGCTACTGCAGCTGGCCGTTGGTTCTGTGCTTTAAAGTAAGCACCGATATCAGCAGCAACAATACTGAGAGTCACAGTTATTTAACAAAAACAACGAGGCCATCTTCTATGTTTTACATGCGTAGACAGTTATTGTCACACCCACCCACTTGATTATCTTGTTGTTAATCATAACTGGTAATCACATATTCATTATTTTTGTTTCACTATAACTTTTAAACATTAAATATTTTGACAACAAAACACGAGGACATGTCCTTATTGTTGAGTGTCTCATTTACAGTATTCATGGTCATTCCTCATCTACCTACAGACTTTTTTATACATGCCACATGACAGGCATGTTGATTGTTTGTTCGAGTGTTTGTTATTGCTGTGTTTAAAGCTCATATGACTCAGTAAAATAATTATATATGCTTGTGTGGTATGTGCAAGAAAAGTTAATTCTTTCTCAAAGACAAGAGAAAAATTTATGGAGCAAGTTAAAAAATCCAATTTCAATCGAAATCAAATCATAGATATCAAATGCACAAGATAGCGTTAGAGTAGCCTGCAAATATACACCTACAAGTTCCTGATGCTATAAAAGAGATGTCCCCAGATTTCTTTGCATGCAGTTAATATTCTTTTTTCTTGTACTTGTAGAACACTGAGCAGGAATGATCCACAGTCAGTTAAAGGAGTATTTTATACCAGGAGCTGATTTCAATAGCATGTACCTTTACCCTCAGGCAATCACCAGCATCATATTAAAATTAATTAAACAATGGAGAGAAGATAATGTGAAACAATCATGATAATAGTAACAACAATAACAATAATGATAATAATAATAATAATAATAATAACAAGAGTACATGATGGGTTAGAAACCCATCATGTACTCTTGATAATAATAAATGTAATTTTTTAAATGGGCATCCCTGACAAACTAAATCAATTACCATTGGCTAGTCTCTGTTTGTGTATGTGTACATCAAATTTAAAGATAACCATTGACAGGTTTCATAAACCTGAATGTTTATGTTTGCTAAGTGCATTGGCTTTGATGTGAATTGAATACATTAACAAGAAGTAAGCAGATGAAAACTTGACTGGAAAACAACTTCGTTTTTCTGTAGTAGAAGTATGAGAATGCTTTTTTCAATAACTTTTTATATTTAGTCCACAGCAATATTCATGGTGAGTCTGTGTAGCTCAAGGAGAGGAGCTTCTGCTATGGATGGA